CCTGCAGATTCCCCCCCTTCTCACTCTGCTTTGACGTACACCGTACTGACACAGTAGTCAGTGGCCAGTAGCTGTGCCAGTGTTCTGTTGTACCCAGTGCAGTGGTTTTCTTTTCAGTTACATGAAATATTTAACTTTATCTGTGTCACTTACATGGAGTTTATATTTAAAGACAACATTTGCTGGTTCTACGGGTATACTTTCTGCTAGTATACTATAATGAGGCTAATCTTGTGTGTGTGTGTTTGTTTGATCTCGATGTTCTCCGTAATTTTTCACTCAATCGCGCTAACTGAAGTATATTCAGAATCACCACGTCTTGCAGATGGTTCTGGCTGAGACAAAAATTTAAAAAAGTTAAAAAGTAAAAAAAAATTGTAAAAGTCAAAATTCAATCATCACGTACGTGGGAATTATTTCGCGTGTCTTGCCCGCCGCCGTAGCGTAGTCGGTAGGAGTTCGGTTTCATAACCCGAGATTCCGGGTTCGAATCTCAGCTGGGGGGAAAAATTTTCTCCTTTACTTTTTTACTCTTTAGTATCTACTTCGGCCACTTCAGCGTTAATTTCAAAATGTAAAAAACTAATTTTACTACATTCATTAAAAAAAAATTTTTAAGTTACAAATTGGGAAAAATTACTATTTTTTTTACTATTATTATTATTTACTACTATCATTATTTATTATTATTTTCACGTTCTTTATATTATTTATATTATTTTTTATTGTTTGGGATTGGATGGGACTGGGATTGGGGTCGACTGCGATGGGATCAGATCGGATCCCATGAGATGGCATAGGATGGGATGGGATAGAAGACGATGGGATATGGGATGGGAAAGCATGGGTGGCATGGGATGGGATGAGATGGGATGGGATGGCATGACATGCGATGGATGGATGGATGGAGGGATGGCTGGCTGGATGGATGGATGGATGGATGGAGGGATGGCTGGCTGGATGGATGGATGCATGCATGCATGCATGGATCGATACATAGATAGATAGATAGATTTTGCGGTATTTTCCTTTCAACCAAGTGGTCACCAACTAAGCACTTTTCCCCGGCTCACTTATAGAATTGCGCTCTTTGTTTCTTCCCAAAATGTTTTGTTTCTGTTTTCTTTTCAGTTGCATGAAATATTTAACTTCAACTGTGTCACTTACATGAAGTTTATATTTTAAGGCACGATTTGGTCGTTCTACGGGTATTAGTCTGCTAGTATATATAAAGTTGTTCAGCCGAATTAGTGTGTTCGCGCATAACTAGAGAACTCTGCAGCCTAGAGGAAAACTAAAGATATTTTCAGAATCAGCACGTCTGGGAGGTGGTCTGGCTGAAACAAAAATTTAAAAAAGTTAAAAAGTTAAACATTCATAAAAAATTCTATTGATCAATAGATGGCGGTCACGTCACAACATCACGTCTGAATCCATGGTGTATAAACGTAATGGCGCAGTGGGCTCATCAGTACAACATCCGTCTGCTACACCTGGATTCCGGGTTCGAGTCCCAGCTGGGGAACTTATTTTCCCCTTTTTTCCTTTTTTCCCTTTACCTACCTCTTCGTAATGTATATTTTAAATTTTTAATTATTAATTTATTAATTTATTTAATTTTATTATTTGTTAGTTTATTTATTATTTTTTATTTTTAATGTTTTATCTTTATCTATCATTTTTTTACTGTTTTAATGGGATGGAGATGGATGCGGCGATGATAGATGGCATGATGGATGCCATGGCATGTTGCACTGCATGTGATGAGATAGGATGATGAATGCGGTGCGATGATGGCATGCAATGGATGATGATGGATGCATGCATGATAAATAGATATTTAGATTTCCTTTCCCCTATTTTTCCTTTACCTACCTCTTACAGTATGTATATTTTAAATTTTAAATTATTTGTAATTTATTAATTTATTAAATTTTTATTTTTTAGTTATTAATATTTTATTTAATGTCTTTTATCTTTTGATTTCTTATATTTTTTACTCTTGTGTGGATGCAGGGATGGGATGACATGGCGTGGGATGGCATGTCGATGGCGCATGGAGATGGCATGGGGATTGGCATACGCAGGATTGGGATATTCGGGATGATGCAGGCGATGGGATGGATGGCATGTGCATGGCAGGCCATGGCATGTGATGGCATGAATGTGAATGAGAGGGATGGTGATATGAGAATGCGTGCGATGGATGGGATGGCACGTGGCATAGAAGGGATGGATGGATGCATGCATGGATGAATACATGGATAGATAGATAGATAGATTTTGCGGTATTTTCCTTTCAACCAAGCGGTCACCAGCTGAGTAACGCCACTGATTTCCCCGGGCAACGCCGGGTATCCCGCTAGTATATATATATATTCGGGGAGTTGGTGGTAGTACGTACAAGAGAATAATTGTTTTCTTCTTCCATTTAGCTAAATATCTATGTCATTACTACTCGAGGACTGTAAGAGCACACACAGCTAATTAAATGACATGATAGTTTTGACAGCTGCCATGCAAAAATATGCAAGCTACCTTTTGTTGTCAGGCCCGGCTTTGCGAGGATAAACATTCCATACTTCATGGATGACGAACCGGTGGATTTCGTTATAGAGGCCGTGTGCTTGGTGGCTGAGCACGGATGGAAACTGCTACCTCAGTACATATTCAATGCTGAAACTGGAGAGTGGAGACACAGTACAAACCTGGTGAGAGTATAAGCATTTGCTAATGCCATGCTGTGTATGTTTTTAGCTCACCTTGACATCGTCAAGATGAGCTATTGCCATGAGGTGTCGTCCGTCGTACGTCTGTCCGTCCGTCCGTCAACATTTGGCTACGGTCAACGATAACTCAAGGATTTGGATACGGTCAAGAACCGTTTGACCCACATGTTTCAAATTGCATACAGTTGTTACTCCTATGGGAGAGGATTGAACGTCCTATTTTGGAGCACGCCAATTTACCTACTTTCGAGCCACATCCACTTTTTGGCAAAAATGGAAATTGCCATAAGTCAGTTCATGTTCAACGGATTTTGCTCATTTCTGGTATGTGAATAAATAAGGACTGGCCCCAAAACATATCACACGGGTTTTTATTATTTTTTTTATTATGCAAATAAGGTAGATTTTAGCAATTTCACTATGCATTTCAGTGCCTGCCTACGGTCAATGATAACTCAAGAACCATTTGACCCACATGTTTCAAATTGCATACAGTTGTTCCTCCTATGGGAGAGATTTGAACGTCCTATTTTGGAGCACGCCAGTCGTCCTACTTTCGAGCCACGCCCACTTTTTGGCAAAAATAAAAATGACCATCTAGATTCATTCTATTTTGTTAAATTTTGGTATATGAATGTGTAAGGCTAGCCCCAAAACAGTTGTTACTCCTATGGGAGAGATGACAATGTCCTGTTACGTTTATTTTGTCTAACTGGTTAACAACTCTACAATCATACCTATATACGTGTAAGATTGTGTTTTAGATTCTTCGTTACAGTAATTTGACTGGAATATTTTATTGTTTCTATTTGCGTGATATTCGAAAACCAAAATGGCGATCATTTAGGCTGAGAGGGTCTATGTCCCCCAGGGTACTGCCGGAACGTATCCTGGTACTATCTAATATGCCGGACCGTACCTCGCCTACTCCACTAACGATCGAGTCTATCCGGGAGTTGCCTACGCCTACTTCCTAACCCTAAATCTAACCCTAACCCTAACCCTAACCCTAACCATATCAGATAGTTACCAGGGTACGTTCCGGCAGTACCCTGGGGGACATAGACCCTATGAGCATCATTTAGGCGTAGCACCATCTCTCGTCAAGATTTCAGACTTTCAGATCTGAAACATTTATTTTCGCATCAACTTATGCATATATCATTATCAAGAGTATATAATGTGGGAGATATATGCTATATAATGGGAGTTTTCCCATATATACTCTGGCTTTATATATCCCCCCCCTCCCTCTTCTATCACACCCAAGGTGAGCTACAGTGTCATTGACACTTTCATTAATTTATATTCTTATCAATTATTTTTGCCTAAAGATCTACACGTATAAAAATGTGGCAAGGAAATCATGCAGTTTGTAAATGTTTCAGGTTTTCAAGGAAAGGAAGTGGTTAGGCTCAATATCTTATAGTGAGGGAAGGATGAGTTATCCCAGCCCCAGCGTAAAGAGTGTGGGTCCTCTTCCGAGTGACTCACAAGAATGCTTGAACATGGCAAGGAACATATTTGAGGATGCACAAAAAGTATGTTTGATTAAGATGGTGTTGCGATCATGCTCTCTGGCTAGTACAGCATAGAGGTTAGGCATTGGTGAGATCAGTCACAGCGTTCACTCTCGCTGTCTGAATTCAGAATTTAGATTCATCGTGAAGAAATGCAACTTCAAACATGAAGGTTTGGGTACTAAGAGCAGTGATGAAAGTGGCATTTTTATAACGCAATTAAACAAGCCTAGTGCATGCCATAGCATAGTCGCCATAGCATAGTGAGAAACCTTTTGTTACTCAAGGCATATGCATATGTGTTTAAATGGCTAAGCCTGAGTAATTCTTTGATGATATAATTGGTTGTTACTCTGCTACATATACACCCACATAAATTAGAGGGAGTTGTACCTTGGTCGTTACTTTCCTTGTGTTAAATCTTTCTGGTTTTCTACTACGCTTTTTGCCTCAAAGGTATCGCAGAAGATGATGTTAGCCGACCAGACTCTGCTGTTCGGCGATGACTCGGCATCTTACCGCTGCTTCCTCCTCCCGAGTGAAGCCCAGAGGTTTCTTCAGTCACCGCGTGTCGCCGGCTACCCTCTCCCACTCCCATACACGCCGCGCGACCATGGGAAGGAGATTCCCGTGCGACAACTGCCCGGGATCACTCCCAGGGCTGATGTTCCGGGCGGCTCCGACCGGGCAAACGCCGGCAGCAACGTGAGGGAGCCTCGAGGAGAAGATGCGGACGTAGCGTCGGACGTGAGCTGCTGCTGCTCCACGGGCACGGCTAGCGATCGCGCTGGGAGGGGTCATACGAACTGGAGCGCAGGGTCGCACGTGTTCATCCCAGAGATGGTGGCCGATCAACGCGCGGGGTCCGCACCGTGTGCCAAGACAGAGAACGGCGAGGGAGAGCTGAGTGGTAGTGAACTACAGCCGCATGGAGTCGGCGCTCTCTCGTGCAAGAGACCTCCACAGGAGTGTACTGATCGAGAATCTGCAGCCACTGACAGTCGGACCGGCGGCGTGGTCGGTCAACCGAACTGGTGCAAAGTGCCAAAGTACATTTTCACACCAACAGCAAAGGTGGTTCCCTCATAGCATTCATGTTGTATTCAACTCATGTGCACAGAACGTACCTGTATGTTATTCTCACTGTACACTGCTAGTGAGTGGTATGTTATGTCATGCGCTATTATAGTTACATTGTTTTTATATTTGAGATTCGTATTATAGTGGTTTTTGCCTCCAGGCTATATTCGAGTATGGGATGCTGAAGGATGGAGATAGAGTGTTGGTGTGCCTTTCTGGCGGTAAAGACTCTCTCAGTCTCCTGCATGTACTGCGGCAATACAGATTTTTTGCCAGGACAAAGGTACTAGGTGCATTTTAGCTTGCAAGTTTGGAGACATGGCCTTGTACTTGTTCTGATGAGCTAGCAGGTCATGTGTTTGCGGATACAAAATTACCAAGGCCTACTTAATTCAAAGGGTGGATCAATATCGATAATAATATCAAATGACTTCAATTGAGACTGAAATTTTAAAAGAACATTTTACTAAAGTAGCAAAAAAACATTACTGTTAGTAATCATTTCCGTGTTGAATCATTTGCACTAAGGGTCAGTGGACTGGGGATTGAGGCCTCCTGCTCTACCCAGTTCATTTGGAATTACTCAACATAAGTTATATATGGTTATTGCTTTTTCCATGCATAAAGGCACAAATTCAGCAAATTCCCCACATTTCTTTTTCAGGGCATATCATTTGAGTTTGGAGCAGTTACAGTAGACCCACAGACTCCGTCCTATGACCCTAGACCACTTATACCTTACCTGGCCGGTTTAGGAGTGCCCTACTTCTATGAGGAACAAGGTTTGCCTCACCTAAACTTATTGAAATTACAGTTTCTGATCCTTTTAGTATAATTCTTTATATAAGTCGGTTGACATGTGTGGCTACAAAGGTGTCTCTGTGCCCTAATGCTGTAATGATCTTGGTGGCATAGATATGCTGTACTATAAAATATGGAAGGGTGTGTTTGACTTTGATGTAGTCTTCTAATTCATTGTCACCTTACCTTCATGCAGACATTATGGACACCGCTAGAGCACTGCCAGAGTGTGCGTCCATCTGCAGTTTCTGCAGCCGCATGAAACGGGGGCGCATCTATGCGTGTGCAAGGAGGCATGGCTACAATGTGCTTGCCCTTGGACAGCATTTGGATGATCTTGCAGAAAGGTAATAGATCAGAGTAAGAGCTGGTTAATAAGTAGAGCAGGCAATAGTGGAATGTGAAACTTTGTATATAAACTTTGTAACTTTACCCACCTGGCTTAGAAAATATACTATCTGTTATCAAAAGTTGGCATAACCAACATGAGTGTTCCAACCATTTGTATGCACTAATGCCTGTCGTGCGTGCATGTGTGCCTGCGTACGTGCGTGCCTGTAACTTGTTAACATATATTCTCTGTATTGATGTTTAGGTTGCTAAATCTTTGTAAAGATGATTTTCCATTTTAGTATGATAACCTACGTACCTGAATATTGTAGTCTTGATTAGAGATAAAGATCAATTGAGCCCTTGGGAGTACTTGGGTTTCTGCTGTAAAATATTGCACTCAACGTGATATCAAGAGCTAATAATATATAAGGTATTATTAGCTCTTGTGATATCTCTATAATTATATAGACATGTGTGTCGATATAGACATATACAGATATAGACAATTGCAATGGAATATATTAAACGGGTACGTGTTTTCCTTTTAAATTTGCTGTTTTTTTACAACATTATATATTGTTACAGTTTTGTGATGTCGATATTCCACAATGGGCTTATGAGGACAATGAAAGCAAACTACACTGTTAGGTAAGGTTCTTTTATGCGTTTATGATCAGCATCATTATTATACACATGATCGTTGTAAGAGTTACACATCTAAACACTTAAATAAACAACTGGCAGTGGTTTATCATTAATTTCATACTATCACAGAAATTTATGTATAAATTGAATAAATTATAGTCGCTTGAGCATATCAATTCTGATATCACTGCATGATTTTTTTTTATAATAGAAGTGGTGTTAATTTTCTTGGTTTACAGGAAAGGCGACTTGCGAGTTATTAGACCACTTGTGTATGTAAGAGAGAAAAACACAAGACGGTTTGCTGAAGAGGTACGATTTCCTTTTATAGATTAAAGTTATTATTTAACGAATTTTCAACACTGTACAACTTTTGCCAGTGTAAGAAACCTTGTATCTATTCTTTTTATTTGATGGAATTATTCTCGTTTTCTTTCAAGTAAGACAACAAGGTCGCATGATTCATAAATTTACTCGGCCACAATTTAATTTTGCAGAAAAAGTTGCCTGTAATTCGCGAGAACTGCCCAGCATGCTTCGAAGCACCAAAGGTAAAATCATGAAAGATTAAATTCATAATCTAAAAACCATGTTTCTAGGAATAATTTAGAAAACGAACTGGCGGGGCACTTATTTAGCAAAAAAACATATATATCTTACAGTCGGTAACATTAGAAAATTGTAATGGTAATTGAAAAATAATTTTATTAGCTGCATGATTACTTTAAACTCAGTAATCAGTATGTACTGATCCCGATAGCACTGAGAAGCACGGCTTTCTTCTGGACAATGTCCGAGCATCTCGGCTCCTCGTGGTCACTGACGCTGATAGGGTCTATGTCCCCCAGGGTACTATCGGAGGGTACCCTGGGTACGGTTCGATATATCGGAAAGTACTTCGGGGTACTATACGATATGTCGCTGCGTACCCTGCATTGTCCCACCATACCCTGACTTTCACACACATAGTCTGTGAAACAGCAAAAATATTGAGATTAATTGATGAATCATCAATTAATATGAATAATTTAGAAAAATTAATAAAAGCTAGTAGTCTCGTGGTTTAATGTTATCATTGTAATACTATCATTACCATAAATAAAAATGGTTTGATATTGACATCAAATATAAAAAAATGAATATGCACGTGACGGCGGCAATACCTTGCGGCGGTAATACCTCACCCACCAGTAGGCCTATAGGCAATAGGGGAGAAGCGTAAAATGTTGTCATCCACTAAAAATTGTCATTTTTTTGCAAAACCATATGTATATAGTTCTGCATGACTTTCATGATCAGTTGGCTGAAAGTCAGGGTACGGTGGGACAATGCAGGGTACGCAGCGACATATCGTATAGTACCTCGGGGTAACAAAAACTATTTTTAAAACAGTATGAAAGAAAAAGTGAACGAAGACTAAAGAATTTGAACAAAAGATGATCTATTAACTTTACAGCGATAGATATTTGTACTACATTATTATTCTGTGTAATGCCCGTTTCGGGCTCTCACTAGGAGTATATATATATATATATATATATATACGATATGTCGAACCGTATCCAGGGTACCCTCCAATAGTACCCTGGGGGACATAGACCCTATCAGCGTCACTGATTGACACGCCATTTGCAATACAGTAGATTTCGAATCTTTCAAAGTACTGCTCAACACTCTCATTCTTCAGGTCATTGATATATATTATCAACTTTCAATGTGTTATCTCTATTATTGCTATTCATCTAGTTATTCATTCATTATCGCAGTACGTGTATATTTATTGTTATAATTATTTTGCCAATGTATCAGCTGAATGTATCTGTGAGATATTTGAGCAATAAAATTTATTTGAATTAGAATTATTATTTGAAACTCATTTAATTCTTAGTATTGCTTACAAATAAATAAAATTTTGTCTTATTAATGCTATATATGCACACCGTAACGCGATACATGGCACATAAAGCCATATGTTTTACATCTAACTTTGCATTAATTATTGCGTTATGTAGGAGCGCCACCGACTGAAGCAGCTGCTTGCATCACAGGAGGTTCTGTTCCCAAATCTCTACAACCACATAAGAACAGCAATGAAGCCCTTGATGGCAATACAAACTGCTCACTCCACTTTTGCTGTCATACCTGGAGATGACGACAGTTATGATTCGCCTTGACGATAAATGCAGTGAACGTGGCGATTATCTCCAAAGTTTTTACAGAGGTTACCAAGCCTAGTCCAGCTGGTAATTTCTTGGACAATGTGCATATTTTGACACAGGGTGCCTGCTCACAAATGACATTGTGTGCCTAGTTATAGTATTGTTAATTACTCTTGGATTACGAGATCGAGATGATTGATTGTGCCAACATGCCTCTTATAGAGCGAGAGGGCTGTTTATATAACAATCACAGATGATCTGTGGCAGGTTTGTGGGTAATGATCTTGTTTATGTATTATGATGGAAATGTGAGAAAATATATAATATATATATATAATAAATATATTCGTCCACAGGTGTTTTTATTGTCATGAATACATGTGAACATGTACACGTGGTCCGTTTATACAAGGCTTAGCCCTCTGTACAATTCACTTCACTTTATTACGATTAATAAATCAGAATTTCAAAAGGAGAACAACTAGACATATAAACGACTACTGAATGTAATTCATAAAAATGAACGTGCATGTTATACACAGCATACTAACAATCGTATACCACTCAATAGCTACCCGCAAAAGATAAAGAAGATTTCACCTTAACAGCATCACATGAATAAAATCTCATTTAAACATTACCAAGGTTACGGTACCGAGGCTATATTGTCAATACATGTTACCCAAGCACTGAATCAGATTAGAGCCTCTAAACAACAAATAAAACAAAGTAAATCTTTCTTTCCTTAAAGAATATTGTGACAATTCTATCTCACAGTTTTCACAAAAGATTTTCCCCCTAGCCGCCTTCACTGTCGTTGTTTCGCAACTTATGACCAGTACGGAAGTCACCGGGTAGATCGTGTGAGTCGTTACCATGCGCAACATCTTCAAAGGCTATAAAAAAATCTACTTTTGCATTTACAATAGAAGTTCCGGAGATTCCAACAAAACCGAATACAACGACCACAAACCGTTCGCAAGTTGTTCGCGGTGAGACCTGATATCTTACTATCGCGCTGTACAACACTGAATCAGCATCTCCTCTGATGCGACAAGCCTGCGGCATTCGCCTAGCTAGCATCCATGGTCGCCGCCTCGTCCGTCTCTCCCTCGTCGTCGTCGTCATCGTCATCGCTGTCCCAGCACAGCCTGCCGAGGATTTCCACCTCGGGCGTGCTCGCGTATCGCGCGCACAGCGCTGTCACCAGGGTGCGACACTCGCCATGCTCGGGCTGCAGCGGCGGGCACAGCTCGGCCGGGTCGCATGCGTACAGCGCGCACAGTAGCGTGAGTCCGCCACGCAACACAGTGTCATCGCCGCGCGCCAGCGCACCGCACAGTAGTGCGCAGAGTGCTGGCGCCGCCTCGCCGCCGCAGTACGCGCAGTCGGCACGCAGCAGCAGACGCGCGCCGCCGACGTGCCGAAACACGCTGCCGAGCAGCCCAACGATCGCCGCAGCGATGGCCGGCGCAGGCGCATCGCCGTTGCACAGTGCGTAGACGAGATGCAGCAGGCAGGCGTCGGAGCGCGTGCACGCGAGCGCGAGCACGCTGCGAGAGGCGAGGAGCGCGTGCGCCAGCCGCAGCGCGCGCAGCGTCACGCCGGGGTGACCCGCGACGGCGAGGCACGCCGCGAGGGCGCCGCCGGATACGGCGCCGCGCAGGCGATCGATGAGCTGCGACCCCGCGCACGCCGCGAGCGTCTCCAGCGCCGCGAGCGCCGCCTCGACGACGCGCGGACATAGCACGGTGCCGCCGACCGACCGCGGCTCGGCGAGCAGCAGCAGCTTCGCGAGGATGCCGCACTCACGGTCGCGCAGCAGCAGACTCGAAGTCTCACGCCCCCCCGACGCGAGTCCATCAGAGTCGTCGCCGCCGCCGCTGCTCGAGCAGCGCACCCTGCCATTGAGGATCGCGTTGACGACCCCGCACGACCCCAGCGTCAGCCGGTCGAGCGTCGCGAGGACAGGCAGCGTGAGCGCCTCGGCGCCGGCGTCGTCGTCTACTTCACGCGACCCCGCCGTCGTGCTGAGCGACTCGGGCGTGCTCTCGAAGCTGCTTGACTTGTTGCCGAGAGACGAGCCGGATTCGGAGCCTGCGCGCCGCAGCGTGTCGCGCTCCGCGCGTGCCTGCATGCAGCCGACCGCATCGGCTAGCTGCTCCTCGATACAGGGTAGCAGCAGCACGGCCGACGCGTCCGCGCACCACGAGCCGCTGATCGCCGAGTCCGACCGACCGTCCGGCCGACACCGGTGCCGCGCGAGCTGCGTGAGGCCCTCGTCAACGAGTCCCCGGCTTCCCGTCACGCCCCGTGCGTCCTCGCCGGCCTTTGCATCGCCGGGCGCCTCCTGCGCTGGCTTCCGCGCGAGCAGCACTCCAAGCGGCCCCTGGTCCGGCGGCACGGCCGGGTGCAGCTGCAGCAGCTGCGCAGTCAGGCCACAGCCGGCGAGAGGGAGAGTCAGCCTGTGCCGCCGCCACGCCAACCTGCCTGCGTTGCCTGCCGGGACGCCGTTCCGTGTCGCCGACGTAGACTGAGTGCCGACGCTGCTGGATAATGTCCGGGCCAACGCGGCGGCGGCGCCGTGAAAGGACTGCTTGCTCGGGAAGTTGCGACGAGGCGCTTGCGCGTCGCCTCTGTCGCGTGGCGCCGTCGTGGCATCGCCGGGGAGCCTGCGCTTCAGGGAGGCGGTGACGCGCAGTGGCGAAGCGACCGACGACGAGCCAGCGGCGATTCTCAGCCTGTGCTCGACCTCGTGCACCTTGCTCTGCAGTTGCGTGCATTCCTGCTCCTTGAAATGCAGCTGAGTCTTCACGCTCTCGGACTCCTGTCGCAGGCACTGCTCCCGTTTGTTCCACTCCTGCGCCTGCTTGTGTAGTAGCTGTGCGTGTTTCTGCCTCGTGTCATACAGCTCCGACTCTAGCCTTGCCATCGTTTCCCGCAGAATCCGAATTTCGCCTTCCTTCACGGACAGCTGTTGCTTCAGTTGCCTGATGTCGCCTGTCTGCTTTTCACTCTCTTCACGAACCCTGGCCAGCTGTTCGACAATAGCAGCACTCTCAGCCCCATTTGCTGCTGCTATGCTTGAACTAGATGCAGGAATCGTTTGGTGTAGGGAGACCTCCGGTGTTCTGCGCCATCTTGCTTGAAACGGGTGTGGTGGGTGCTGTTGCTGCTGCTGTGCAACTCCCATGAGTGCTTGAGAAGCCATAATTTCGCACTCTTCCAAAACATCTTCAGGCAAGTCGTCGTCATCACCCCATGCACCTGCATCCATCCTTTCAGTTGTAGGTTTTACAAGCGAGGCTGCTAGATATTGGATCAGTCCGTATTCGTATCACTCATTCTCAATGACTTATGTGCCGGAAATGTGCAAACACAGCGTCATGCTTTAAAGGAATAATAGGTCCATTGATTATGCAATGTTGACGAATGCTAGAGTAACTGGCACCTTGTGTAGTTAATAAGTGCATTACCTTATAGCCATGCAAACGCGTATTAGTTTGTCCAATATCACTGCTGGTTACTAAGAAATGTCTAATTGAAATCCGTAGTCCAAGAAATCAGTTGACGGAGTTGTTTACAGTTTCAAACCGCTGCCGGCGAAGCGGGTGTGATACAGATTTATAGTGCACCGGACATTTTCGCACGCATGCCCGGCCGTACGCAATGCTATCGTCATTGATTTCGTAAACACGGACGCTCGTGATAAGGAACTTTTTGTCAGGGCTGTCCGTGATTTGTACGTGTTTTACTCCATTTCCGTGTTTAGTCCGTGGCCGTGGTTACACCCGCTGACACCTCCATTTCATCTGGCGTCCAAAACATACGGGCCGCAAAAATGTTTACGTCATCGGCCACTTATCGCTTGACTCCTGGATGTCATTTACGGCACGTAATATCAACAAGCGATTTCAAGTCTTGCTTGTAATGTAACCAGCAGTGATATTGGCCAAACTAATACGCGTTAGGCTATAAGGCTACGTACTTATTAACTACACAAAGTGCCAGTTACTCTAGAATTCGTCAACATTACATAATCAATGGACCTATTAGTATTACCTTATTCCTTTAAATTGAGGGCTAAACGCGAGATCGAAATAAACCTCCACATCACAGTGACAGTATTCTCCATGTGCATCGTGATTCGTGGTACATCTACGAACCAAATGACACGGTAAACGTCTTGTACATGACATTAACGATTGAAATAACTAAATATAGTGTTATTTATGACCGCACTGCAGAGTTTCTGGAGCTAGGGTTGGTTATTGTTACCTGCTGTAGCCTGTAGGTGATTTGATCATTCACGATTCATTCCCTCTGATTTCGTGTTTCCCACCTAACCAAAGCCTGCCAGGTGTTTGCTAGATGGCAGCACAATCGCATAATTTATCGGATTTCACATTTTGAAACTTTAGCGCCCATCTTCAAACAGGTTCATATTCATAAATACTATTGATAAGTTTTAGGGTCTGGGTATTAATAAGTATGTATAATTAGTCGCATATACCAGTACGTAGTACCATATTATCGGCGAGCTTGGTGGTCCAGCGATAGGCCTATAGATCCAGCGGTTAACTTAATGTGCTCGCAACGAAGGCTGTTTCACTTTCACTTTCAGCCACTGGCGTATATATATATAGCCTGCGGATCACAGGCACTTGGAACGTCTCAATAAAAAAAATTAATGGTAAATAAACATGAAATGTACCAAAGAAGTCTTAATGTTTCTCTAGGCCTACTCTATTTCACCTGTGAATGCCGGTCAAATGCTCATCTGCAACACACAAATACACCGTATGCCCGCCCGCGCTTAGCTCTAGTACTATAGCCGCTTACATGAACTGCCGCTGGGCTATAGACCGACCCATGGGGCATGCAATGGACCAACGTACTCCAGCCAGTCAGCGGGAGCTATGTATTTCCGCATGTAGAGGGGTGGGCGGGTTGTGTTGGTTGTGGACAAAAACATTGTTGTTGTCAAGTACAACAAATTAACAATTAGTTAATTTGTTCATCGTTCATGACAAACTAATATTACAATCTCGTTTGATCGCTTAATTTGTTACGTGACAACAAACAATGATTTTTGTCCACAACCTCCCCGACCCGCCCACCCCTCCACATGTGGAAATACATAGTTCCCGCTGACTGGCGCTGCTGCAGCGCCGCCAGAAATGGCCGTTTTGAAGTTCGGCAAATCGAATGTTTGTTCACAAGAAATACGCAAGTATACCATTGCAACATAGTTAGAGCTAATAGAGGTTCAATTTAGTAGCGGCTATAACTTAAGACATATTCACTTCGGATAAGAGGCATTAATTGCCTACCACAGACG